TTGTCTTTATCTCTTTGCAAGTGCTTTCATTTCTTTCGCAATTGGGTGGCATTGTCTTTCATTGTGAATTTGCACTTGGGAAATGACCAGGATCGTAACAATTGGTATCGGAGCGGACTTAGTTGCTGGCGAGAGGTGTTAACCACCCCAAGCCTAATTCCGAATTAGGTTAGGGCTGACCTAATCTCAGATTAGGGTTGGGAAGTTAGGGTTAAGTGGGGCAGCGAGGTATGGGGATGCTGCCCCCACCTGGTTAGGTCATGTAGGGTCGACATTGGACCCAACTAGGTTGCTTGAGTGAATGTATGGGGTGGCGAGACACAAAGGAGGCTGATGGGAGTAAGCGAGAGGGAGTAGAGAGTGAGAGGTACTCGCTCCTGGATTCTGGTCTTCAGGAAGACATTGAGTGACTTTTGGGCTTCCCCTTAAGAGGGAGACTTGATCAGAGGCTGCCATATCTGCATCGGATTGCTGCAAATTGCTACTTTGGTCTTCAGGCATCGACGGGGGATCCGACTTCGCAATAAGGGTGTAGGAAGGCCCTCTTAGTCATGCTAGGACACTTCGTGTAGTGGTAGCTAGGGGTCAGGAGGACTTATATGAGAGGGGAGTGACTCGTTATCCATCTTTGGAGGCCGGGCGTCAGAGGTAAGTGTCGTGTGACCGGGGAAAGCCCGTGGGAGGTTGCTTGGTGCTTCATGGCCTGTTGGGGGTGTGCTGGGTTCTCTTCCTCTTCTCTGCGGTCTTGGTTGTGTGTGTGAGCTTGTGGATTGCTTTCTCACTTGATGGATGGATGGTGTATTTACTCTAAAATGACATATCTTTCTACGGTGCATTGTCTTTTCATTTCTGAACGGCTGTAGAAGTGAGTTCTTGCTGAAGTTGTCTTTTCCTTTTCAGTACGGTAGAGGCAGTTTGGGACCGACTTGGCACCCCTATCACGTTAGTCCTGGTCCACGGCCTATTTGGGACCCCTCGGGACCCAGTGGGACCAGGCCCAACGGGAGGACCTTTTGGGCCCAAATTTGATGCCGCCAATGCGTTTCTTTGCTGTGCTAGAATTGGGGGACACACGGACAGCAAGGGCATTCCTTTCAAGGGGATCTTGACTGGCCTTACCGCAGGTTAGCACATAYCGCCTCGCGTCTGATTCGGCGACCATYTGCACCCCTCGAAATCTCCATTGCTGCARATTAKTCTTCTTCGTCTGATTTATTGTGTTGACATGTCCCCTGTCAAGTTAGACAAGAGGGGATTTCCAGCTGATCTGATCGGGCCCGTTCTATAAATCAGACCTCTCTGCTGTTTTGTTTTATTTTTTTTTATTTATTCTTCTGCTGCGTGCCACGTTCTCAGTCCAAATGATTCGCCCTCTGGCCAGGAGTTCTGCCTTCTTCTTTAAGTGGTTTCCTGTTTGTTTCTTCTACCTAAATTATCTATGTCCGATATCGAGACGCGTGCGCAGACAGCGAAAAGAGAGGAAAGGGAGAGAGAAGGTGTGCTGTTTGAGAGTGTGAGAAGGGGCAAGAGGAGTGTTCGTCCAAACGTCAGGAGAGAGCGGACCCCTCTTGAGAGTTCTACTGACACCCCTTCCTCCGGCATGGCGAACATCAAATCTGCCCAATGGCAGGCCATGCTGGATCCAACGGACGAGAGCCAGAAACCATTCTTTCAAAAACTGAATGATGATGCCGTGCAGAGAGAAAGGGAGGCAGCGGCAGCAGCTAGAGCCGCCGACATTGCTGATCAGGTGGCTCTCCTCCGGATCCCGGAAGCTAACGCTGACCGGTTCCGGAAGGGACTAGCTGCTGCTGTAGCAGCCTTGGTCCGACTGCGGACCTTGGAAGACTTTGAGTCTCGTATGATAGCACTTGAGCAGCGGAACAAAGAGCTGCAGGCTAAGGTAATTATCCTTGAACAGTCCCAACTGTCTGCCTCCCGCCCTCCTAACCCTCGATCTGTTGTAATCCGAGTCTCTCAGCCCAACACAACCCTCGTTCCAAGGGCCAGCGGAACTGCGGTAAGTGCAGGAACCGGAGCAAGCTCCTCAAGCGGCAGCACCGGTAGTTCTGCACTGATCGTAGTCCCAAATGCAGGGACTTCAGCCCAAAACGCCACAGTTCTTACAGCCGTTCAGTACAACGGTCCCATGGTGGACAAGCGGGCAGCCACGTTGCCGTCCAAGTACGACGGGAAGGCTGACATCACCTCTTGGATTAGTTCCATGCGGTCATGCTTCGAGGTCATGCGGACACCTCAAGAGGACCGAAGTATGATCATGGGAACTAATACCGAGCCTGCCGTACGAAACCACATTGAGCTCCAAGCTTTTGCTGCAGGCTATGCACGCATAGACCTGACTGATTGGCTGAAGGTCACCCCAGTTCGCACCCTTGAGGATCTTCTCCTTGACGGGTATCAGGATAAACATGTTGCGCTCAAGGCTAGACTGAAGCTTGAGGCCCTCAAGGGCCAAACATGGAGGTCATCCATGCAGGCTTTGGAACACCTGACTGGTCTATTCACCACTCCGGATCTAGGAATGACTGACGTGTCTTGCATGGATGTAGTTATGGGAGTGGCCCCTACAGAATACCTCTCCCTGCTAGCACTCAAGGACCATGCTATCTGGCGAGAGCTCATGAAGGACCTAGTCGACCTAGAGGCCAAGGACCTCGCCAGGCGCAAGAAGGCGCCCGTTGCAGGTGGGAAACCACAACGCAAGCGGTTTGGAGGCAGCAACCAGCTTGCACTGCATGATCATCGGGAGGCTGACGATCAGTCCTATGCGGATGATCTGCCTCTAGATGACGATCTAGATCCGGACTCCGATACAGGCTGTTCCACATCAGCCATTGAGTGTGACCGAAATGATGATGAAAAACTTAATGTATTTAGAAAGACTGCTTCAAATAAGGGGCCTAACCGTGGTTCGGGTAAGGGAACTGTCTTACACCTTCCCGAAAATGCTAAGATCCTTGAGAAACCGGAGGGCGCTTCTACCACGCCTTGGGAAGCCCACCGCATCAGCCAAAAAGAATGGGAAAGAAGGTCCAAACTGCGCGTATGCTTGCATTGTTCAAAGCCTGGGCATGCTGTGCAGGATTGCTATCGTCTTCAGGGAAACAGGCAAGGGGCGTAGAGGAGACATTAGCACTCTCTACAACAAGAGAAGTTGAGCAGTCAGTTGCAGGCCCCTCCGAGGAGCCTGGATCTGATCAGCAGCATGCTTTTGAAGCCCAAACTAACGATGATTCCAAGGCTGAGACAATCAAGTGTTATACACTGAGCCTTGGGAGGAGTCTAAAGAGGTCGACCTCCACGCCCACATGGAGCATTGGCTGCAGCTCAAGCAGCAACGCCGTGTCCAAGGGAGCGTGGAGCTGACTTTCTTTAAACTGCTCATTAACCGCCGATACATCCACGTGCTGATTGACAGTGGTTCGACCACTAACTTCTTCTCTCCGAATGGGATTCGTAAGGCGGGCCTGGGTATGAAGCAAGTGGAACTGCAGAACCCTTGCTGGACTCAGGTGGGCAACCAAGAGGTTGTCACTTCCACTCATGCTGTCAAAGGTGTGCGCATCACCTTTGACAAAGACCGCACTGTCACACACGAGCTGAATTTCTATGTCTTGGACAAGTGTCCTTTCGACGCGGTCATTGGCTTGGGCTGGCTAAAGGCTCATTGCCTATGGACCACGCGGGCGGACAATCAGTTCGTGGTACTTGATGCCAAGGGGAACGAGCGTACCGTCTTACTAGATGAGACGCGCGAGTTCCCTGTGACTCTTCTAAGTGCTAACAAATTCTGCAGGTCAGTGCGCAGGCGCAAGGAAGCTGGGCTTGTACATATAGCTCTTGTAAAGCCTTTCCATTTGCCTTCTACTTTTGCTGCACTTTCTACCTCTGAAGGTAACTCTACCTCTACTACTTCTACTTCTGTTCCACCTACTTCTGTTGTAAATGATCGATCTAGTGCGGAACCAAATATTTTGAAACCAGTTGTAATTGCTGTAAATTCCCAATCTGATTTTCTCTCCCCTGATGAGGATGATCCTCCACCAGAAATCCCAACGAACATTCGCCAACTGTTAGATCGATTTCCTGAGGTATTGGCTGAACCCCGCGGAGTTCCCGAGCGTCCAGGCAAGCACAAAATCGAGATAATAGAGGGAAGTGTTCCTCCAAAAGGCTGCGTCTACCGTATGGGACAAGGCGAATTGGAGGAGCTGCGGAGACAAATTGATGACATGATTGATTGTGGATGGATTATTAGCGAGTCTGAGTTCGGCGCATGTGTTTTGTTTGTGCCGAAGAAAGGAGGCAAACTCCGGATGTGCATTGATTATCGTGGTTTGAACCGAATCACAAGGAAGAATGCCTACCCTTTGCCTCGTATAGGTGATTTGTTGGATGCGGCCGGTGGATGCAAAGTCTTCTCCAAGATCGACCTCAAGTCTGGTTACCACCAAATTTAAGTTGATCCGAGCGACCAGCACAAAATTGCGTTCAAGACACGTGATGGGCTGTACGAATTCATCGTTATGCCCTTCGGCCTTACGAACGCACCAGCCACATTTCAGTCCCTCATGGACAAGGTACTCCGCCACCAACTTAACAGGTTTGTGGTTGTGTATCTTGATGACATTCTGATTTTCAGCAAGTCTATGGAGGGGCACGTCAAGCATCTCGAGGAGGTCTTGCAAGTCCTCAAAGATGCTCAACTGCACCTCAACTTGGAGAAATTTGAGTTTGGCAGGGACAGCGTTATCTACCTTGGGCACCGGTTGTCTGCAAGCGGTCTCGAGCCGGAGGCAACCAAGGTTGAGGTCATCCGCCACTGGCCTCAACCGGCGAAATTACGCGAGCTGCGTTCTCTTCTTGATATGGCTTGTTACTACTGGAAGTTTGTGCCTAAGTTCTCTGACATTGCTCACCCACTCTCACGCCAGACTAGTAAGAATGTTGCCTATGCGTGGTGTGAAAAGTGTGAGACTGCGTTCCAAGCCTTGAAAGAGGCTTTGGTGAGTCATCCTGTGCTCCGCATTGCGGATCCCAACCTCACGTTCGTAGTCACTACGGACGCGAGCCAGTTTGGGATTGGTGCAGTGCTGCAAGAAGATGATGGCGATGGTCTGCGTCCGCTTGAATATTACAGCAAACGCATGCCCAGCCACAAGGTAGGCACTTCCACATACATGCGGGAGCTCTACGCCTTGCGCGAGGCGCTCACGCATTGGAAGCACTACCTCTTGGGTCGCCACTTCAAGGTTTATTCAGATCATCAGACCTTGCAATGGATTAAGACACAAACTGATCTCTCTCCAACTCTGACCCGCTGGCTGCATGACATTGATGTTTTCAACTTTGAACTAAAACATAAGAAAGGCTGCTATGATCGTGTTGCTGATGCTCTGTCGCGCCATCCCGAGTACTTGACTTGCCTTGTGGACTCGTACGACCTCCGGAGGAAACTGAAGGAGGATCTGGTCGAGCACACTGCCAAGGATCCGGACCTTAGTCCCATCCTTGAGCAGCTCGAGGTTGACCCCAACAGTCAACCTGATTTTCATGAATGCGAGGGTCTTGTATTTCGCCGGTACGGAAAGTTTGACCGTTTGTGTGTACCCAACCATGCGCCTCTCCGAACTCACTTCTTGGATTTGGCGTACGGTCGGAGTGGACATTTTGGCTTTGAGAAGACTAATGGAAGTCTTCTGCAACAATTTGACTGGCCAGGAATGAAAGGATCTGCTTAGAAATTTATTGCTGAATGTCAAGTATGCCAAAGGATCAAGGTTCACAGGCATAAGCCTTATGGCCTACTGAGACCTCTTCCCATTCCCAATGGACCCGGCGAGTCGATTTCCATCGACTTCACGGACATGGGAAAGGTGAGTGAGGCTGGGAATTCACACATTGTGGACCGCTTCTCCAAATTTCTGAACTTGATTCCTCTCCCTCCTCACGCCCCGACTGAACTTGTCATAGAAGAATTCCATCAGCAGCACATTCTGCAGTTCGGCGTCCCGAAAACTATTGTGAGTGATCGGGATACCAGATTCATCAGCAAAGATTGGAAAGACTTCACATCTCAGATCTACGACATCAAACTGAAYAGGACTTCTGGTCGACACCTTGAAGCCAACGGATTGGCTGAGGAGATCAACTAGACTGTCATCCAATTGCTTCGCGCACTAATTGTTCCAGATCAGAACACGTGGGACAAGGAATTGCACAAAGTGAAGGGGCTGTACAACAACTCCATTCACTCTGCGACTGGTGTGACACCAAACCAATTGCAGTATGGATGGCCGATGCGTAATCCCCTCTCATATTTGTTCCCTGAACGGTCACCAAGTCTGATGCCCGGCATGCCTGGCTACAATGCCAAGTACGCACGCTTGCTCAAAGCTGCTACAACAGCTATGAACAAGCGCCAGCATGCCATGATCAAACATGCCAATAAGCAGCGCAAAGAAGAAAAGTTCAAAGTAGGGGATTATGTTTGGGTCAAAATGTCCGAGTTTTCTGATGAAGAGGGCATATCACGAAAGCTTTTTCCACTGTACTACGGCCCTTGGCAGATTCTGAAGGTAGTCGGGGATGATTTCGGTCCTTCGTATGTGATTGACGTGCCTCCTCATCTGCGCACGTATCCAGTCTTCCATGCCTCCAAACTGTTCCCACACATTGATGATGAGACTTTTCCCTTCCGTGATCCTATGATACCTCGCCCATTGACGACGGCCATGAGATTGATAGAATCGTTTCTCACGAGGGGAGAGGAAGGAACAGACAGTACAAAGTTCATTTCCTCTACCACCCGTTGAACGAATTCTTCTGGATCGACCGGAAAGAACGTGCTGTGAACGCATATGAACGACAGATTGTTGACGGACAGACCACTAAGTTTGCTGCAAAACTCACTGCGTTCGGACTCACTAACACTCTCTTTTTGATCTATGCCTATGACGCCTTCTGTGCCGACTCTGACTGAGTTACTTGCTCGAGGAGACCTCGCTCTCAAGAGGAGAGTAATGTAATGGCCCGCCCAAAACACAGACTGAGAACACTGCTGATTTCTGGGATTTGCCAATGGAATGAATGCCTTGCTGTGATTCCCGCATTCTGCTGTGGTCCCAAGTYTGTGTGWGTGCGTGCCTGCTGGTTTGCATGCTTGTCTGAGTGCTTGCCAGATGTGTGTGTGTGCGTGCCTGCTGGGTTGCATGCCTGTCTGAGTGCTTGCTGGTTGGGTATGTGTGTAACCCGCCAGGGTACTTGTTGGTTGCAAGGCCCACCGGGCCGGTACGTACCTGTGGCCGTGACTTTGGAGGGTTGCAGGGGGTAAACATGCCGGTAGCGGGGAGTAGGCCCATTGAGCAGCTGGGGAAAACCACTCAAGTAGCAGGTAGGCCGAGCAGAAGAAGACAAAAAGTTGGCATTTTTAGAGGCCCAGTAGCGGTAGGCTAGAGGTAGGCTGGTACCAGTCCAAGTACCCCGGGTCTAGGGCCTGTGCGGACAATAAAAGAGCCTGCAATGATGTTTCCCTCCAAAAGGGAGGAGGTACCGGTTGCGGGGAGGCCGCTTGGCCTAGGAAGTCACCGCCCAGGAGGCCGGTAGGCC